ACCGTAGGGTGCAGGAGGGTGCTGTGGCCATGGGGACATCAGAGTGAAGGAGGTTGTGGGTGTCTGAGATGCAGGGGGTTCTGGTGGGGTGGCCCAGAGGGAAGCTCTCAGTGACTAAGATATTCCCCAGGACAAACCGCAGGCTCTCAGGGAAACGCTCTGTACCATCCTGGAATTCACTTAAAATAGGTTTTTAATAAAGCAGACAAACCCACGCCTGCAGAGATGGGAACTTTGTTCTCTTTGTCCTTGGCCAGCTTGGCAGGGCCGTGTCCCAGCTGGGAGGAGGCCAAGACCATGTCAGCCACAAGCGCCTCTGCCCTCCCCGAAGGCTCCCACTCATCCCCTGCACGCTCAGGTCTCTGCCAGGGAGAAACAAACACAGACCTGCACCCCTGCCTTCCCAAAGGAACTCTTTGCAGGGTGTTTCCCTTTTTTAGGGGATTTTCTTCTAAAAGCTGGGCTGCTCTCTGTTGCTGTGACCCTGCTCAGAGCAGTGACAGGCTGCGGTGGCACTGCCGTGGCTTGTGCTGTGGTTGCAGCTGAATGTGACGCTGTTGGTACAGGTGCTTTTTGTAAAGAATCATTATAAGTATGGAATTTGGGTCCGAAAACGGGCTCGTGGCTCTTGGCCAGCCACATCTCTGTGCTGTGTTTTGCTCGTTTGAAACGTGTGTTAGGAGTTAGCCTACGTCTGTTTTCTCCAGGGTTGATGGAGAGCATTGCCTGCGTCGATAACTTCCCCGTGGCGCTTCAAGGCCATGGTCCCTCTGCTCAGAGCACTGGGACGGGCAGGAGCACCATCCCCATAGGGGTTCATGGTGGGACATGAACTCCTTCACTCCCCAGCTCTATAAACATCACTGGAAAGTGCACCCTGTTCCCCTGACGCAACTTCTGACCTGTTCCTTGGTCCCTCTTTAGGTGAACATCTGCCTGCCCATCTTCTTCATCCTGGCCTGCTTGTTCCTCATCGCCGTTTCCTTCTGGATGACACCGAAGGAATGTGCCATCGGCTTCGCCATCATCTTCAGCGGGATCCCTGTTTACTTCTTCGGGGTCTGGTGGCAAAACAAGCCCAAGTGGGTTCTCCAAGGCATCTGTAAGTGTTACCAGCGGGGAGCAAGGCTGCAGCCTTGGCTTTTGCTCCAGAAAAGCTTCCCAGTGAGCGTGCTGCAGCTGATAGCACTGACTCTCCTCATGGAGGCTTCCAGTGTCTTCCCTCTGATCCATTCTGTAACGATAACAAGTTTTAACCTGATGATCACCCTATCAAGCACCCAAAACGCACCCTGACTTGTGGAATTGCAGAGCTTGGGCCAAATACCTTGGTTTTAATTTTATCTTGGCAAACAGATTGTTGTAATGCGGTGGAGCGTAACTCGCTGAGCACGTCGCTGCCTTTCTTCTGCCTTCTGGAGAAGCAGAGCCAAGCCTTTTGTCAGCAGAGAGACCCTTTCCAGTGGTGTAGGAAGGGAAAAGAAGCAATGGCATAACAGTCTGAGCACAGTTGGCCTCAATTTGACTGCTGAAAATTCAAAAGTAGCCCCAATCCATCATTTTCGCCAGTGCTAACATTTCTGATCCCATCAAAGCTCTCCCTGGCGTCAAAACGTGGCAGCGGAGCAGAGGGAGAGGAAAATCCCCTGGATGTTTCCTCTTCCGAGGTTTATTTTTAAGGTATCTCAGTGTAAGGTTTTCCGGCAGCTGACACTACACCAAGGTGTGGTTTGGAGGGGTGGAGAGGCTGCGCTTGGCACTCGTAACCTCTGGCTGAACGACCGAATCGAAGTCAACCTGCGTTGTCCAAGTAACTGAACTCCCCCATCTGCCTCCCCGCTCCCGTACAACAGCCTGACCTAGAAAAGCAGACGAGGAGAAATGCCCAGCCTCAGCTGGATGCTTTTTATGAGGAAGAAAAGGGCTTCCAACAGTGCTCAGCACTTGTTATTCTTCCCCCCCCGCCTCTCACATACACACACACTCACATTTTTATTCTGAGTATTAGGCTCAGTTCCTAGAAAAGCCATTTTTGCAGTGCTTGGGTGGCAAATTACCGTATTAATTGTCTTCCACCACCAAAGGCTTGTAAGGAGAATATAGAAAATACTCTAGGAACACAGAATGATAACACTGCAAATATCCAGGTAGAAACAAACGGACTTTAAACGTGTTTATATTAATATATTGCAGATCATTTGATCGCCTCCAACTGCTCTGAGTCTGACTTTGTGTGTAGTCAGAATTCGTGTTAGCTTCACCTGGCAGGACCATCCTGTGATCTGCAAACACGCAGTGAAGCAGCAGAAAGCGCAGCTGTGTTTGGATACCGGCCACCAGAACTAATGGGTGGAAAAATAAAGTAGCTCCAGTTTAGCACCTTTCCTGTGCCAGTTTGCACCCGAGATGCGTCCTTTGCTCTTCACCTGCTCCGTGCCTGGAGTTCAGGATGCTGAGCTGGGTTTGTCCTGGTGCTGGAGCCTTTAAGGAAGCTGTGAGCACAGGCAGCCAAGGTTTTCAAAGCTGGAAGCAAATCATCAGCTCCTCTTTTCTGTGCCCATTTCTGCCATTGTGCCTGACTCAGGTTTGGCTGCTTGCACTTCTGGCATCCAAATGCAGTTACTGTATCGCCATGCAGTTAGAAACTGGTGTCAGTAAGGACCAGAGCCCCTCTGGGGCAGCCCAGCACCTTTGCTGCAGGCGCAAAGCTCCCAGTGTTAAACATATGTTTAAGTTCTGGGTGCGAGCCTGTGGCTCATTTGCTTTCCACTCTTAAATCATATTTGGACCAACCTTGCTCAGAACCAGAGTGAGGAGGCCAATGGCTCAGCCCTTTTGAGGCTGAGTATCATGAATTGAGACCAAGATGTACGTTGGGTGCCTGCGTATGATGTCTGACCCGGCCTTTGCTCTCTCCCCCGCAGACTCCGCCACAGTCCTGTGCCAGAAGCTGATGGAAGTGGTTCCGCAGGAATCATAAGTGGGAAAAGCAGAGACATTCAGCTCGAGGAAACGCACAACATTACTTTAAGGCGACACAAGGAGAAAACACTTCTGATCCCTCGTAAACGAAACCCAGGCACTGGAGCACCCCCTCGGAGCTGACACCGTGCGCCCGGCTCTGCCTTGCCTCCTCCAGCCCCTCTGTCACCACCCTTAGCCTGGCAGATGAGCAGCCCTGCGATGAGAAGGTCTTGGTACGAATGTGGACCAGGAGGGAGAATTTCTGCTGGCAGCAGCGAGTCCGATCATCCTGTGTTTGTGTGTGTGTGTGTGTGTGTGTGTGTGTCACTGAGGGCTGTGCTTCGGTTCTTCAGCACTCCGTTTGGGTCTGGGATCCCCAGATGCCGATGGATCTGCTCATGAGCCCCGTTTGAGTGTTCCCAGATGTACAAATGTGCCCATGTCTGGAGCTGGGACTGTCACAGAGCCATGGGGTGGTTGTGAGCTGGGCCCTCCTGCTGCCCTATGTGGTCAAGGTGGGGTAGCAAAGGTTGGCTGATGTTGGCTCACACACACAGACACACACACACAAACTTATACCAAAATAGGTGCTGCTGGGTGCTTTGGGCTCTGTCTGCTGGCAGTGACTTAGGGGGGACAAGGCAGAGCAGATTTAGTGTCAGAGAAATGGCGTGGGGAGGCCTCGTCTGACTTGCATTGCGTTCCTGACAAGAGCACTCGGGGTCCCCTGCCGCTGCCTGGCTTTTAACTCAGATCCAAGCCATCTCCCTGCTATTGAGCCAGTCCTCCAGGATGCCCCTCACCAGAATGCCCATCCCATGGCCCTGTGAATGGGGCAGGTGAAATTCCTCCCGATAAACCAAGGGAGCTGCAATTAGCAGAAGGCCAAGTCCTTGGCTCGCTCACTCCATGTTTTTCTGCAGATAGGCTGTCATCCAGCATGGGATGAGCAACATCACGCTCTCCAAATGGCCCTGTTCATGTGTGATGTTTGCCCCTAAACCATTTGCAATGAGAGAATAAGGGTGGGATTCCCTGGGGTCTGTCTGTGCATTGCCTGTCATTGTGCTGGGTTTTTTCTAGGATGTGCAGGGGAGATGGGACCAGCGGGGTCTGGGGGTGCAGGAAGGGGCAGATGTCCCCAGTGACTGGATCCTGGCTTTAATGGTCTGCGGTAGGTGGGCTGTTTTGCTCTAAGAAGCAGGAACTGGGGGCCCACTCCTCCTTCGTGCAAAACTGCAGCATCAAATTTGGCTTGGTGAGATGCCCCCACCACCACCCTCCCGCTCAGGGAGCGATCACTGAGCACAGACCTGTGTGGGCAGTCTTGTTCTGCTGTTGCGGGTGGTGCATCCCCTGAGCCCACAGGAATTCCTCTAGTTCCCAAATAGTCAAACTCTTTAGAACATGTCGCGTTATTTGGTCAAAAGCATCACTTTTTCAGCAAAACCGCAGTTCCTGAACAATTTGCTCTGTGCTCAAGGTGATGTTCAGCTGGAAATCAAAAGCCTCTTGTCCTGCTTCAGTCTCTGTTCCGGATCTGCTTTGTGCTTTGTGCAAATGGGTTGCTGAACTACGTTTTCTCTGCATTTCTTTTTCGTAAGCTAAGCTGTTGGGAAGCCAGGAGCAAACACTTTCTACTGGATTCTCCTCTTAGCGTTGAGTTATTTTGGATGAAGAGGCATTAAGGACACCGACGGTACAAGCTCATGCTTTGTCCTAGCCAGGGGGTGTGTTACAGCAGTGGCAGCTTCTGTTCAGGTGTGTGAGACGGTGACTGTGGTCGTGTCAGTGGGTGTCTACACACAGCTATGGCTTCGCCAACCGCGCGTCTTTGCTTTGAGGCAGTGCAGGAGGAATGGGTGAGACAATCATCGCGCTGACACCTTTGCTGTAGGCTTGCTTCATCCATGGAGCACGGTGTGGACATGCCCCAACCAGCTCAGGTGCTGCTTTGTATGAGTTAATGTTGGGCTCTCCTGGAGCTACATTGACCCCTGGGGAGCTGCAGCCGGTTTGGGTACGTCTACACCGCAGAAAGAACCCAAAGTTATGGCCAGTGCCTGGCTGTTCAGGGACCTACGTGCAATGAGGTGGAGCATCTCAGATGGCCTGGGTTCAGCGCAGGGGCTCTCAGTGCTAATAAATACCAGCAGAATTACTTGTGATGCAGAGGAAAGGGATTTTTAAGTCAGCCACCTCGATCCTATGTAAGTTAGCACTCGCGTCCAAGCCACGGAGAGCTCGGAAATGGGTCCAAATCTCCCAAAAGCACGGGCATTGCGTGGTTTGGACACATCTTTCAATGATTTCCATCAGTGATGAAGACCATCACTACACGATATCCTCTTGGTGGACCTTCCACACTGGTTTTAAAGGGGAGATGTCACACTGAGAAATATTTTTTTATCAATTAACCGGTTTTAATCCAGTCCTTAATCTCGCTTGCTTGCTCTTGATGAATTTTCATGGGTTTTCACTTGCTGCTAAAGATCTTTCTCTCGTACTAACCTGCTGACTCTCGCATTGGTACCATATATTTTTGGTGATCTCGCCAGCATCTCCATGGCAATTGGGGTATAGGAAGAAACTGAACCAGGTACCAGCACGGAATGACAAAAACGTTGAATTTGGTCAGCCACAGCTCAAAGTTTACCATTCAAAACCCCAATTTCTTTTAGCCCTGATTCATTGACCCCGATAGTTCCCCTCCACCAAAGCTTGGCGAGGGCTGCACGGTCACCTGGAGTTTGGGATGGAAAAAGCCAAAATACATCCCTGGGAAAGACCTTGCTGCTTGTTTTCCTCAGGTGTGGGGTGAGATGAGAGCGAGAGGAGCAGCAGAGACTTCACAGAAAATTCCTCCTCGTTCCCAGCACTGCCTATGGGATTTTTCTGTTGTTTCTCTGTTTGCTGTGTGCTC